TAATTATATATACATATATATATATATATATATATATATATATAATTTTTTTATACTTAACCTTATGAATTAAGAATTTTGTAATTTTTTGAATTACTTTCAATTAAATATTTTAAAAAGTGAAAAGAAATCTTTTAGGGGGAGTTTGGTAGGAGAGAAGATTTTTCATTTACAAAATTCATAATTCTTAAGAATAGTTAAAATATGTTTGGTTACTCATAAAAGTTTTCTACAAATACACATACATAATTTTTGGGAATTAAAAATTTTCATATTTGATAACAATAGTATATTTCATGGGTTTATAAATATTTTTTTACAAAATTTTCCTTTATTGAAATAAAATCATTATATATATATATACTTAAATCTTATTACAAATATGATATTAAATAATTTAAAAAATTTGAAAGCATATTAATATTATTTAAATACAGAATTCAAGAAAAAATTTAAAAATGCTACATTATAATCAAGAAGAATAAAAATGTATATTTTTCATTCGAATAAAAAAAGTGTTAACAAATACTATTAAAATTGACAAGATCAAGAAATAATGATATAGGAGGAGAGAGAGCAAGAGGGAGAAAGAGAAACAAGATGAGAGACAGCGAGGGAAAGTGAGAGGAGGAAAGAGAAATAGGAGGAGAGAGAGTGATCGGGAGAGGGAGAGAAAGAGAGAGGGAAAGGAGGAAGGAAAAGAAAGCGGGGTGAGAGTGAGAGAGAAAAAAAGAGAGGAAGAAAAAGAAATAGAAGGAGAGAGATATTTTATATTTAAAAAGGAATATTGTGGTCCTTTTATATACATAAAATTTTCCTCCTAACTCGAAAAATTAGATTTTGCACTCCTTATGAAAATGTTTTTGTAAAAAAGTAGGATAAGAAAATAAACATGTTAATTTGTTTGAAATATCACTCAAAATACGCAACAAGCACAATGTCAAAACCAAATATTGTGTGGAACTCTGTGACACCCTCTACCCCGCATATCATAACACATAATAACAAAATTTGAATAATATAACACTTTATAATTAAAATATTAAACGTGTTCAGATAGAGAGTACCACATGCATAATTTAACAAAATCAGCAAAATTTAAAAAAAAAATAAAAGTAAAGTCTCCAAAAATAATTTAATAAGTGAACATCCCAATCTAATCCTATCTACGCCTCAATGTCACATGTCCTATCAGAGCAAAGTCAAACTATGAAGCCTAAGCTTCATCACCTACATTTCCAGCCTCATGCTGATAATCACCTGTACAACAGTAAAAAGAAAACAACAAAAAGAGAAAAGGAGTGAGAAACATCTCACTCTAGCTCACAGTGTAGAAATACACACCGGATAGCCAAACACAAACAAGACAGATATAGCATAGATATGTTAATAACAATATTTCATCTCACTCATCCAAGACATAAAAATACCAATTTATTATATAACATTGAAAATGCACATGTATGGAAACGGACTACATATTATCATGCATATGGCGCTAGTAAAACATCACATGGCATATTTCCGCTAGCAATATACGAAGAGTAGTCTAGGAGTACATGTCGGGTCACACCCACTACGCACTCTCACTAGAAGGATATACTACCAGAGTCTCGTCGGGAGAGCTAAGCCGCGCAAGATACTTCCTATGCACACAATGGGCGATACTGGGACTTCCAAACCGAGCTATCCCCAAGGACTAATCCCCAAAGCTTTTACACTAGGGGGCCTTCTCTGGCGGTGTATTCCATATCGTACCCTTAAAACACTTATGCAAATGATGCATGTCAATCAAGACTCTATGCATTCTCATATCACATTATCGTTTCCCATGGTCATATCACATCATCGCATTTCGTCATCAT